CAAGAATTGAGATCAATTAAATCGGCTTTTAATGGTTTCTTTTTTCTCTGTTTTTTAGATCACTTCGCGTGTGTATATCTATTTTTTGAAATTGAGGTGAATAGTGAGAGGAAATTCACTGAGCCGTGAACTTCATTTCCAAGAATAATTGTTAGATATTACAATAATATGACAATATACCGTTTGAAATGTTAACGTCGGTAATAAGTTAGAACGAAGGCATCAGTCATAGTTCGTCGATGTGGTTTGGATACATTCATATTCTACACTGCATCGCCGGAATTTTGAAATGAAGCAGTTATACTTTCAACTTGACCTCCAACACAAAATAGAAGATAAACATGTTCGGTAGAAAAGTCCCGAACTTAAGATGGCCGTTATGTGATATTATGGCGATTATGACAAACTACGAGTCAAAATAATTAGCAAGGTCATCATCTAACGCCTTCCTCGCGGCATTTTTTGGTAGTTCTTTGACAGTTGTAGTTAATAACAATATAGCAACTGCATATATATTTTTGCTGATGAACTATTTCGGAATAAACTTATAGAGATTCAGCACTTACCATTTCTTTACTGCATGCAGTTCTTTAGCGGAACCAACAACCAACTGGTTTAGTAAACTCGATCGCTCGTTGCATTTACAGGTCAACTAAGCGAAACTATCATCTGTGAAGTGATAGCTTAAATACTGATCCACGTTAAAAAGTATATCAAATTACATTATCATTTTACCTGCGGTTTGTATTCAAATTTTGTCAGACTAAAAATGTGAAACGAACAAACAAATTTAGTAAGTGACATTACTGTTTTAATTTGAAAAATAGCGGCTTTCGATCAAAATCAAAGTTTCGTTTACTTTTTTTTTTTCTTTTCATGCAAAAAGATAATATAAAAAGCAATGCAGCAAGACAGAACGAAAAAAGGAAAAGATAACGATCCTTATTAAAAAGTCTGTGATAGCCTCTTTAGATTTTGGAATAATTATGGTTTCTTTAGTCTCTGAAAGAACAACTGGCTACAATGGGCGCTTTTAAACTAGAACTTTATAACGACCTAAAAGGTAAATGTTTGCAGCTGCTAAGGTTTCTCTCTGCCAAAGACCAGGGTGTGAAACCAAATTGTGCATGATACTCATTACAGACGGCACACTGAAAGGATTTAAAATGGACTTTAGCAACGAAAACCCATTTATTATATTGTCTTAACTCTGTGCGAAGGAAGTCAAGAAACATTAGAGCGAGACTTTCACCTGGCCGCGTTATATGGAACATTCATATTCAATTAAGTTCAGGAAAAAATATATCACGGCCCTTTTTATGCTGAAAATAGAGTAAACAAACAATTTTAACTTACGAACACAAATAAATCTGAAAAGCCCCACGCACACAGTGGAACACTTTCAAAGGAAATTAAAACAAGTGATTGTTTTCCTTTTTTTAGCTTTGCAATCAATCGTATTATGGGAGGGTTCACGGCCGTCAAAGTTATTGCTTTTTTTCAGACACATTCAAATTTGGTACATCTATACAAATTATGCAAATTATTAAGTAAACATATATTGTATACCAGACAACCACGATTACGCGTTCAAGAGACCATTTTCGAGCTATCTTGTGTCTCTGTGTCAAAACGAAGGCCTCGTGCAAAACTTTCACATGAAAATGAGCTGAGTTTGCATGAAAATGAACTTGTGGGCGGAAATCATTTTCACACGAATGATTTCCCACGAAGACGCGTTTTGGCACAGAGGCAAAAGACATCTCGGAAATATGCCTATTGTTCATTTTGATCGACGTGCTACACGACTGCTCGCAGCTCAAGCAAAGATAAATGCTGGTTCTCATTGCTGGTTTCCATATGATCGCTGCTATGTAATATGTCAAACACGAAAGACCGTGTTTGACCATATTCCCAAACACCGAGGCGAACTTCGAGGTTTGAAACCTTCGAACTTCGAACTTGGAAATTGGTCAAATACTGTCTTGAGTGTTTGATATATCTTCTCAATCGACACTAAAACTAACGAGAAAAAGGAGAAATAAAATCGTAAAAATCTATTTTGATCAAGATCAGATTTCCAAACTCCGTCACGGACATGATTTCCTTTGTTTAAACTTGATGAATTATTAATGAGTTTGAGAATGTTAGAGAAAAAGGTGAGGGATCCTCACATTTACAAGGTTTCCATTTGATCGCCAAGATCGCTACGAGGTCCACAATTGTCCAGATAGCGCTATAAAGTCATGAAGTTTACGTCATAAATGGTCGTAGCGATTGTTGCAAGCATTAGCTAATGAAGGCTCTGTGAGGTTAGAAAGCCTAACAACTGGAAATAACAATTTGTCTCCCCTTTTAACTCTCTCACAGGAAGAGCACGTTATGCGAGATTTACA